TGTGACCTTATTTGAAGGAATTATTAGTGAAATCCTTGTCCTAATGAAGTCAAAGGCCAGTTTTCCACTGACTTTAAAGAGGTCAGGCTAGCAAGACTACATCTGCTTTCCAAGATAGGCCAATCTTATATTTACTTATTTAATTACTTTTAAAATTTTAATAGCAATAACATTGACTTTCACAAAAAAATATTAAAATATTCTAATCCATCTGCATATTAAAAGTGACTGCTGCTCTCTACCTGTTCAGTAAATGAAAGCAGAGGTATGCTGAAGTAGATGAAACATTAGGTAAATCCCTTTTATCATGTTAAAATAATTTGCGGCTTTGCTTTCAGCAGTACATTTTCTGAGTGGGTTGAGCCTCTCCCTAAGTAATTAATAACTCTTAAGCTGTCTGAATAGTTTCCCTTGAGTTGCATCATATAATGTGTCATATGAAAACGACTTGAGGCCTAATGTAACGTGAAACTGTATAGTGTATCTTAATGTGATTTGAGGAAGATAGATGGGAAGGAAATTATTTCTTATTCTGAGTATCAAACAGCTGTTCTTCACTTTTATTTGAAAATAATTTAAAATACCTCTTCTAGGCAGAGATTGGTAAATTGTTATTAGTAACAGAGATTGTAAATTGTTAATAGTTAGTTCCCCTTCTCCCGTTGTATCAGTCATGTTAGGCGAAAACCAAGAATCAAATACATAGCAATTTGATGTAGAAATATTGAGAATAACATGGATATTTTTTATATTTGGTCACCTGAGCTTTACTTCTTTATTCATAACAGATCTCACTTTAAATTACTTAGCAACCATGAAAAGGTTAAGAATTCAGTGTCCTCATAAATGTAGTACTAGATAAATAATTGCCCACCACAGGAAAGTTGTTTAAACTAACTCCTTGAAGTCTGGACACTAAATTATTGTAACACTGTCATGTTACAAGTGACATATACCAGGTAATGGTATATGTCAGCTGGAAAAGATATGTCTTGCCATAAACTCTAAACATCTCTCACTTCAGTCTCAGGAAATGTAAGTTGGCTCATCTTTCTCTTCTTGGAAGATACTCAGCAAGCTGGAGGCTTCATTGATACTTGTAAATACGGAAGTTTATCATACACTGTAGTATATTCTCATTCGATATGGAACAATTAGAGTTCATAAGATTTAAAAATAGATGCTGCTTTTCCATTAGTGCTTTTTTAAAAAACAAAAACAAAAGGTAAATAAAGGATTGCCTTACTAAATTTGATACGGGTAACTCAATGCTGCTTTACAAAGATAGAACTAAAACTGTTTATAGCACAGTGAATACACAGTTAATTCATTCATAATTACTTCTTTTCACGCGGTAGCACTAGGAGAACCAGCTGGTATCTGCATTTCAGAAATTTTCAGAACTTTTGAGGAAATGATTAAGCAAATATTTTGCAAAAAATCACTCTATACTTGATCATTACAAAGAGTGGAAGGTATGTACAAATACAGTTGTAAAGTTCATGCAAATTTCCTGTAACTGCTCTTCTATTAGCTTCATAATGAACAACTTGGGCCACAGCACCTGTTTTTAGAAAAAAATTATGGCTACATTTAATCCGGGGGGGGGGGTGGGGGAGGGAAGAGGAGAATGCAACAGAAGCCTTTGCAACTCTCAGTATACATATGCTTTGAAAGAGCAGAACATAGTTGTAGGAATGATACTGTGTATTCATTAACATTCTGGATGCATCTTCCTCAGGCTTCAACCTGTGGAATATTAAGAGTTAACTGAATGTCTGGGTTTGTAACGTATATAAAACCTTGTGTCCTTAGGGATTTTCTTGCTTGTTATCTTTGGTCTCCTCCATCTGCCATTTGGGGCCTCTGTAATTTACAGTACACCTCAGTCCTGCAGGCTAGGGTGGTGTAAATTCAACCCTGTGTTCGTGTGCTTCAATTCCTGCTATTGTTTTCAGCAGTTTCCACCAAGGGTGTGCTTCGCCTTGAGAACACAGTGCTCCCTTCATCAACTTTCGTTTTTTATTATATACTACTGACCATATAGACATCGGGTGAAAATTGAAGTGTCTCAATTCCACCTAAAGTATCATTTAGTCAGACTTTGGATGCCTTGGTCTCAGAGAATGATTCAAATTGCCTGATCTCAAGCACCACCTAACCCCTGGTGGCACCTAAAATGAGTCATTTTGGACAACAGATTTCCCACAGCATCTGGGCATAAGTCCCATGGGAGCACCATGGTTTAAGCAGCCAGTCCTGCAGCTCCCACCCAATTTTCATTGTGACTCAAAGATGTGTGTAGAGATACCTGAACATTGACTATGTCCCCAGCAGTGACTTAAGTCATAGGCTGTGCTTAAATTGCACGTAACAGGCTTGGAGAACATGAATTCAACACAAACCACAGCAGTCATGAACAATTTCAGTGCAGAAGAGGGGAGGACAAGGCGTTTTAAATAGCCTGGAAGGTTAGAGCAGTCATCCAGTAAGGATGTCTGCTTTGGATTGTCCTAAACTAAGGAAGCTCAACAGGAATGGGAGAACTTGACTGTTGTCACACTGTTAAGGATATGTCCTGGGAGAGGAAAATCTCAGATTTGTGGTTTTGCTTCCAAGTCTGATTATGTATTTTGGTTCAGACACTTTTGTCCAAAAAACATAAGCATCCCCTGGTTCAGAGACGAGATGCCAAGGATACCCTTATTTGCTTGTCTGTTTTAACTTGTAACTTTTTTCTTGTCACCTTCATAGATGAATCTGCACACTTAATTGTTACTACATTTCTGTAATGTTAGGACTTTCTGAAGACCTGTTATCTCTCTTACTCCTAGACACTGTGAGAAGTGGGTCCTCGTTCCTGGCTTTTGTAGACTACAATACCTGGCCTCCTTGGAGGGGTTTAGGAATCTTGCATAAACAATCAAGATAACTTTGTATCATGTGCATTCACAATCAGATCTTTTTGAGAAAATTCAAAAAAGGAATTCTAAAAATTTTAGAATAATAATACTGCCATTCATTTAGATAGCTCTTAAAGTGTCATGGAGGGTTACAATAAAAAGCAAAGATGGTGGGAAGAAAGAAAACCACAGTGTTCTGTATTTACTAGAAGAACTGCCATGTCCAGAAACTACTTCTATTTGGTTTGCAGTCTTACCATACCAGTCATGGTTTCCCCATTGGATGAAGTTGTCTGATGATTGCCCTTCCACAGCTGTCTGCTCTTTGCCTCTTAATGTAAACTCCCTTTTGTATCCCAATGTGGAACTTAGCCGAGAAAGTGAATTGGTTTTGGAGAGCTCATCATGTGCTCCCACAGCCACATAACCTGTCTAGTTTACAGCTATAAACTTGAGATGCCATATCCTTAGCTTGTCTGGGGTGCTCTAAACCATAGGGCTGATCCTATGTCCAGATAGTTTCTGCAGAGATGCACTCATGTATTACTGATGTCCGGTGAAGGTGTTTTCTTTATAAATCATAAACATACTCTTTATGCTGTAATTAAAATACAAAGTAGTATACAATCTTAAGTCCTGCAAAGCCTACTTATTTGTTTTTGTTCTGAAACATCTATAGCTGTAAAACAGAGCATATGAGTCCACTAACAATGTGGGAGAGCAGCCAATTTGGTCCTGGGATAAAACAGGAATCAGCTGTGGGAAATAAGCCAAAGAAGTGCGATTTCCACATAAGGGATTTAAATAGGTGTTAGTCCATAAAGAAGCTTTTTGGCAGGCTTTAGAGCAGGCTTCTCTACACAAAAGGCATTTTTCCTGAAATGCTAAATTAACTGAAGTGCACTGATTTTCAAGATGGTTGTGGGGTTATTGTCTTGTCAGCTGGTGCTTTCCTCTTTCCTTTTTTTTTTTCTTGTTATTTTGTTTTGGTTTTAAGTTGTTTTTTTTTGTTTTTTGTTTTTTTTTTAATAAAGCCTTTATAGCACATCGCTGTGTAATTATAATCCCATTTGTAGTGTTTTTGAGCTGAACCATTTACTTCACATGATTGTGGGAAGAAAAACAGAACAAGTTTTTCTGCTGTATGGGGCCCTTAAGTTTCCTCTTCTTTGATCCATGGAATGCCTTCTGCAATGTGGTTATTGGGCACTCCTGAGAGTTTTCAGCAAAAGGCAGTGTTAACGCTTCAGCTACTCATGTGCTGGGTAGTGTTTGCATCTGTGGTTTTCATTTGTCTCATCTCTATCTTAGAATATAAATAATTGGATATACAGAAGCTTCAAAAGAAAAAAAGGTTGATTGCACCGTTCTAATTTGCTTAGTAAAAAAATATTTATTTCATTTTCCAGAATCTGTAGTTGAGTCACAGACTAATTTTCTGAAATACAAACTTCTCAGATAGTTCACAGAAGTGGTGTTGTACTTTATTCTCTGATATAGATAGCAAGTGAGAAAGGAATAACAAAATTAAACAACAGCAAGTCATACATTCATATATGGTTTCCTTATTTTTGTTCAAGCCTGCTGAAATCCAGCTGTTTTGATACGCAAGATGTCCAGGTCAATGCCTGTGGAGGTCACTGAATCAAACTCTCTGCTCAAAGCATGACCTGCTTGAAAGTTGGGACAGGTTATTATAAGACTTATCCAGCTGTGTTTTGAAAGTCTCCAAGGAAGAGGATTATTCCACAAATCCTCTGGTTCCAGTATCCCAAGCAATAAACTGGGAAAAGCAATAATTAAAAAAATGTTTGTGCGGCATTCACTTTGCAGCAGTTAAGACCCTCATTTATAGTAATCACAGCTTTCTAAATTCAGAACAAAAAATTCACTAGTGAAATCTTCAGCCGTTTATTCTTATGAATAGATTGAATTGTGCTTTTGAGAGGACGTAATTCTGAATGCTGAAGCCTGTGAATTTGCATGAATGAATTTAGCTCCTTGTTTTCACCAGGTATTATTTCTGCTTACTCCTTTTAAGCAGTGTTTGTGTGATAAGAATAAAAAGAAATCTTTTTTTCCTCCCTCCTATTGTAGACAAGTATTTCCAAATGGGCTTCCTGAAGAATACTCTCTAGTTGCTACTTTCCGTCTGCGGCGAAATACCAAGAAAGAGCGTTGGTATATATGGCAAATTTTAAATCAGTATGACACACCCGAGGTTAGAGTTATCTTTGATTTATATTTTTCCTTTCATTTTTTCCCCCCCATATAATATGGTAAATATAACTTAGTGGTTGTTTCACCACTGGATTTAGCTACAGTTATATAGAATAGACAGGCTGCTCTGAAATAATTGATGATTTATTATAAGAATGACAGAAATCTAACAAAATATTTTGAGGTAAGACTGCATATTAGGATAAAAAGGCTTGTTACAATTTATGGTAGATGTGTATTTACCAAGTTAAAAGAGGAATACCTCATAACATAATTATTGTCCAATCCACGTAGTTGAAGTATTTTCATTATATTTAGTTTATATATGTGTTAAATTCAGATACTCATAACTTTTCAGTGACCACTACTTTTATTTTATTTTGTTTTCAGATCTCTGTCCTTCTGGATGGTACAAAAAAGGTTGTGGAGTATATGACCAAATCTGCTCAGAGAAATATACTGCACTACACTTTTAAGAGTCGAGAAATATATCCATTGTTTGATCGGCAGTGGCATAAGCTTGGTATTAGCGTGCAGTCGGGGATCATTTCCCTCTATTTGGATTGTAATTTAATTGAGAGAAAGCAGACTGATGAAAAATTCACCGTTGACTTGCAAGGAAGGACTCTGATTGCTTCCCGTGCTGCAGATGATAAGCCTGTAGATGTGAGTAGTATGAAAGGAAAACCTGAAATAGTGTTTTAGTCAGACTCTCACTAACACCATCATAAAGAATTATGTAGATAAGAGACACAAAACTGGTTATTAATTTTGAGTGTGTATTCTTTGTTTGAAGTCCCTAAGTCTTTTCCTCTAAACAATATTCACTGCTGTAGCATCTGCTAAGGCAAACCTTCTGTTACCAAAGTAACAGTCCTGGTCTGGTTTTGTGTATTCGCTTTGGAGTACAAGCCATGTCGTTACCCTAGAGGTATTATTACTACTTTTAGAGATAACTTCTAGTGGTAATTATTTCTTTCCATTTTTCTGAGATTTATTTATAAGTTTTTATTGGTCATCTGATACAATTTGTCTCTCCTCTATCAGAGAGAGACACAAAAAAAAATGAAGGCTGACCTCTGTATCAAGATTGTATTACATTGCAGGGTAATGCAGCTATGCAGAAATAGGGGCATGTTTTTCATAGTTGTCGCTCCTTCTTCTGAATGAGAAGGATTAGGAAGTGGCTGGAGGTGTGTTTCCTGCAGCCTTTGGTGCAAGAATTACCCAAAACCACTCCAAAATACGCTGGGCTGTGCTCTGTCACAGAGATGCTCTCCTCTGTTTCCTCATGCAGAGAGCTCACAACGAGTCATTTGAAAGTTCCAGGAAGTGTCATTTTGTTTTAGGTACACTGATGTCCAATTACTAGGTTTAAAGCATCTGGCCTGGAGTTTGTAATGACCATCTGAATGTTTCAGCTATGTGATGTACATTGTACAGTTCCAGATGAAAACAGCACATTGTAACTGCAAGCTAGCATTGTAGGAGGGATCAGTCCTGTGAGGGGCTAAACAGTTTGACCTGGACTCAGAACTCTTATTTCATTGGGCCAAGCTCATGTTTTATTTTATTTTTCTGAGGCTGAGTTCAAGTGTATGTACTGTCTCCTCGTTTCCAAGTAGCACACAGGAGAAAGAGTGGGTTCTTTTCATCTTATGTTGGTTGCGTAGCATGGGCTGGATAACTCTGAGAGGAAGTTGTCAATTGAGATTTCCACATTCACAGGAAAACATTGTGGGCATAAAGCAGATGAAGGCAGCAGAGCAGATACTGTACAGTCGGTCTTCTCAATGCCAAGTGCAAGGGAGAGAATAAGAGGATAGAAAACGTGCAGAAGAGGCATACAAGGACAAGATTAGCTAGCTAAAATTAGATGCTGTTCATCTCACCAATCCACCCAAAATCTCTGAAGCAGAAGTTTTATACAGAGAGTTTGTGATTTTTGCAATTCAGGTGGTTTAGTGGGAAGTTCCAGATATAGGTCTGTCCAAAGTGATAGAAGATGTATGTGACAGAGAACTTATCAAACCTTCACTGTAGTTCAGTGCAGGAGAAAACTACATACTGAAAAGATTTACAGAAGACGTCCAGAGTGCTAAAATGCCTATATAGCGTATCAAGACCAGTGCAGAGGGATGCAACTTAGATTGAAATAAATTAAATCTAAAATGTGATATACATCAAAGTAATAGACTGCATAATGTGTTCCATGAGCAGCTGTATAATTGTTTTGAATTTGTCTCTTTTTTTGGGACAGTGTTTCAGAAAGAAAGGTTTTTTTTATGTCAAGATAAGAAAACATATGCCATAACATATTGCTTTTTATGTCTCATATTAATCTCTTTTGTGTTTCTGAATAGATTGAACTTCACCGCATAACAGTTTATTGTAATCCAAAGCTTGGAACAGAAGATACGTGTTGTGAAATATCTGCAGACCTGGTAAGTTATTTGCTAAAATGCAAATGTTAATACAAAAGAAATTGCTTCATTGTTTCTTACTAAAGAGTTGTAAAGAAATTTCAATAGAAGTTTGAGATTAATTACCTCCTAAAAATGAATCCTTTATCTGGAGTTACGTTATGTTATTTCTTGCTGCCTAATTAAGTGTCACAGTGGAACTTCAGTAAAAGGCACTAGGTGCTGCTAGTGCTTTTTAAATGCTTTTCGTAACATTAATTAATATCTAATAATTAACTGATGAGGTCTCAGAGAGTAGGAAACAAATCACTGTGATGACCTGAAGATGACTTCAAATAACAGAGGCCATTTCAGTACCAGTTGCATGTAGTGAAGCATTGCAGATGATAAACAAAGCCCATGGAAAGGCTTTGTTGCCATTCCACTGCATGACAGTGGAAAGGAAGAAAAGAGGGAAGGTGTTGAGGGTGTTTCCTTTATTTCCATACACTAACATGGAGAAATGGATGTTTCATAATTAGTAAATACTTTTTTCTTGCTACTGTACATGCTGAGATGTATATATTGTTTAATATAAGGGAAAACATTGGTTTAGTTTCAAGGGTTCACTTTTTCTCTTTCATTTTGATAAATAAAATCAGTGTTTGGACAGAAGACACTAGAACGATAGAAATTCTTAAAGTTGCAGATGTGATTGTTTTGCTGAATTGAGCTCATTAGGAGAGAAGAAAAAAAAAAGGGAAAAAAAAATCAAAAAGAAAATATGTTAAAATATTGGTCTGCTAGTTATGAACAGCCTGTAAGAGCAGACTTCTTTGATGTAGTGGCAGCACCATCACCACCCAGCCTGCAGTCAGCAAAAAAACAAACCACAGAGCATGCAGAAGGTCTAATTGATTCCATCTACAAAGAGATGGGAGTAAAAATTACTTGTGATGGAAGGATAGAACTGCCCAAGAACAGAGGAGCAAAAGACTGTGGGAACAGACAACTTGACAGGTGTTCAGAAGCACGGAGGAGGCTGGATCTAATTTATCAAGGGAAATTTCAATTTAAGTAATAATTTATTGTTCAGATGTATTTTAAAATATATTCGTGATAATAGTGCAGGCTTTCTCTTGAACTTATAAACTCATGGATAAATGAAACGAATAGATTTTTTTTCCATAGGTTCCACTGTGTTCATGGAAGTACAATTTATTTAGCAGTTATGACACAGTAGCAAAAAAGTTAAAACAAACCATAATTGTATATGAACACAAAAAGATCAAGGATTGAACTTATTAATAGCTTCTTAAATATTCATGGAGCTATATAGCTAATAACACAGTTTCATTTTTATGTCTTCTGTTGAAGATGTAGAAAATGCTGGTCTCATTGTTAATGACTTTCATATTGAAACCAGTATTACATTTTCTGATTTATTGTTTTCATGACTTTCTTACCAATTATAAGGGCTACATTTTCATATGAGGGAGTTCAGGGGAAGGATTTTATCCTTGGATACAAATTTCTACATTAAGCTGTAAATCCTGTGGCAATTTCTTTGACAGAAGGCTTGCAGGAAACCTCATTACACCTTAATGAAAGCTTCTGAAATTTATCAGGTTGTGTTGACTTGTCCTGTAGTACATCTTGAGGTTCAGCTCTTATGAGTTACAGGCAGGTGAATATTGGCTTCAGGGCTTTTTGTTTCCAAACTGTGCAGTCCCAAAATATTTCATTACAAAAAAAAAATGGACAGAATTTTCCCTCACATTCACTCTGACATGTTGCATTTCAGGTCAGGAGGTGGAGGACAGGTTGAGACTGAGGAGTAGCCTCTGTTTTTTTCCCATAGGCAGTTTTTGCTTCAGTGCTTCTAACTTTGGGCAACTATTTCTCCGCTTGGGGTTTTTTGGAAGAAAGAAGTGGGACAGTTAGAGCATTTTGAACTGGCATTGATGTTTGTACAGGTTTGCAATGTCTATACTTCACACTACTAGAGCTTTTCCTTTGTTTGGCAATTGGCTACTTTGTAATGCATTGTCTACAAGAATATTAGAAGGTAACTTAAAAATAGTGCTCATATGGTATTTGTCTATTAACCAAACTGGACTAAAAATCAGAAAATCTTGTTTTTATTTTAGTGTCCGCATGAGGAGAGGTTACTTGCTACAACTTCATCCCCAGTGACTGTTCATGACAGCAAAATATACATGCTTCCAGGAATGCAGCAAGAGTCTGGAGAGAAATGCCACTGCTATCCAAATAAAGTATGAGACTTTCCTACTGCTCTTTAGTGCATCATACTGTTTGATCCTGTTAGGTATTAAAAAAACAAACAAACAAACAAACAAAAAGGTTGCATTTTAATTTTTTTTATTATTATGAACAAATCTTACTGGCTTGTAGTGTTCTAATATATTGTATTTCACATTTTAGAAATTTAGATTTAATTTGGAGTTGCAGAGCTCTGTAAGATGTAGTTATTTTAATACACACAAAAAATCCATGATAAAAATTAGGATTATATGTAAGCATTACATTTACTGTAAAGGTTTTTACTTGAGAATAAATTTTCGACATAATATTGTTTTTTAAATCCTTCTCCTGATGGTTGCGCTATATTTATTCTGAATCATTTGCTTTGTTATTCTTCTGTGATAAAGACAAGGAAGCCAAACCAAAAAAAATATTTTGGATCTGCTTCTTTGTTGATCTCTTTTTTGGTTTTGTTTTCTTTTATAATCAGGGAGAAGCAGGATTGCCAGGAGTGGCTGGTTTGCCAGGCCAGAAAGGAGATAAAGGTGAAAAGGTAAAATAACCACTTAAATTATATCTTTCAAATCTTTATCTTTGGCTTATCTTTTCTAAAGAGAAACTTTATGGATTTTGTTGCTCCTTAAAGGAATCGCCCTGTATACAGGTTTAATACTTTATTAATAAGTCTTTGGTTCTGTGCATGGGCTTCCTGCCAGGCAGCCTACAGCTGTCTCACTGTGAGGTCCCCTCATCAGTTCCATGGAACACAGTTTACCTGCCTGGGAGGCACATGCCTACCCAATCCTGTCAGCACATTCTATTCCTCTTCTCCTTATCGAAAAAAAGAGGTCACTTATGTCATCTGTGGCAAGGATTTTCCCATATCACGTGTGTACATCAGTGCTCAAGGACAGAATCCTGCATGGTGGATTCACCCTTCCAGTCATCAGGAGGAGGGTAAGAATTCACTCATATGACCTCAGTACTGTATGTTCTTTGACATCATTCTTTCCTAAAACCTTCTTAATTTTGAAGAGACAGGGACCTGGCGCTGGTGAGGCCCTAATACATGCCAGCTGGTGCTCCTTTCTTTGGGCCTGTTCTGTATTTTTGTTCCGTAAGGCTTGCCATGATATTCCTATGTTATTTGGCTTGCGAGTTTCCTTATAATAAAGGTCAGCACATCAGTTGTTTTCCCTTCACTCCATTCCCTAAATTTGGTTGGAGGATTCTGGATTAAGACATGTCTGCGAATGTGTTTTTCTTGTGCTAATAGAGGGGGCAACTTGAATAAACTATTGCAAACCAGCCAGAAAGACAGTGGATAAGAATTCTGAGTTCAGGGAGCGCAATGTGAGAGGAAGATACCTGGAATGTCCTAAACCAGAGGTTAGGGTGAAGGTGTCCTAAGCCAGCATCGACCCTCACAGCACACTCTTTAATACGTGATCTGAAATAGTTTGTGGAGATAGCCAGCGCCATTCCTACAGCTGCAGTACCTGGCTGAAATGGTTCTGAGAACTGAGAGGGCTTAGTTCTGAGAGGGCTTATCCACACTTTTGGCTGAAACCAGGTAAACTCCTTGCTAAAGTCTTTCCCCCACAGCTCTTCCCCTCCAATATATAGATTTGACTTTTTATACTGGCTGTATCTTTTTCCTAAGTAGAAAAAAAAATGTTTAAGCATGTTAGTTTCTATAGCCCAGATGAACCTACAGGGATTACTGGCAGTTTACAAATTTAATCATTAATCTTTCCAGATCTTAGGTCTGCGTATAAGGAACAGTTGTCTGTGTTAACATTAGTCTGTTTATTAGCATAGGGGGTTTCCTAACATTTGTTTGGGAATCCACCCTTGTGCTCCTGACGTGATCCATTTAGATTGTTACTGCTACTAAGATGAGAAAGGATACTTTAGAAGTCCTATTTCTTTTACCATTGCATCTCCCTGTCACTTAACAATATTTACTGTGCTAAGTACAGTAAATATTTCTGAACAAAATGTGTGGTTGCCTGTGGTCACTTCCAGTTCTGTTCTGCTGTTTGATTTGCAAAGAAACACTCATTGCATTGATTCAAAACCCATCCAACAGTCAATCAATCCTGCCAACTTCTGTGTACACTGACAGAAAATTCAAGAGGCTGTGTCAGACATTGTTGGATTACAAAGTACAAAATTTTTAATTTGGACATAAACCTAAGAATTGTTAAGCTTGAGATTAATGAAAAATAAGTCTTTTTGATATTTATGAAAATAGTTGTGGGGTTTGGTGTGTTGTTCGTTTGTTTGTTTGTAGTTGCCTACTACTTATAAATCTAAATTTGAACTGTTTGTCACCTGTCACTCTGAAACTTCACTGAATGTTTAGAGCCTGAGCAGGATTATGTGCATCCCACAGTTTAGCCTAATGAGGGTGAATTGAGATTTGTGAATATCAGTTCACAAAATGCAGTGTATCAGCAGGTTAAAGGCAGAGGTAGTGCAGTAAACAGCTAGAAATCTGCTTCATTTGAATCTTCCTTATAATTGATAAATACATGCTACTTCCCAGCTTTGGGATGGAGCCATCTTGGTTTTGTTTGGGGGTAGGCAGAGGGCACATTACTGCTGTGCTGAAAAGGATGGTCTCATTGTTGACCTTGGGGAGCAAACAAATACTGCCTTGAATAGTGCCTACAATAATGGAGCTGAATGCCACGCTCTGGGATGCTTTAGTGTAATTTTTTTCTTTTTCTCTGCATTTACGCAAGTTTTCAGTAACACTTGCTCTCAATGATGTCCTTGTTACGTCAGTAATTAGAGATGGAGAGGCACTGAGGCCCCAGACCATTTGAGACATGCAGGATACATACTTTATTGCCAGATGATGCAAAGGGTAAGAGACTGTGGTTGGATGTTTTATATTGTGTTAGTCACTAAATAGACATCTTCTTGATGATTTTCCTGGCCAGTCACAAAAAAAAAAAAGGGGGGGGGGGGCGGTCTTCATTAAGTTATCTGATGGTTCTGCAGTTTATATTTCCCATTTTGCTTGTGCTCAGATCCTTATTTTATCGCTTTCTTCTGCTTCTAAATCATATTATTATTATTAGAACCCTACTAACTGTGCTTAAATGTCCTTGTCATCCCAGCATCGAGGTGAAAACAAGTTAATGTTAATTTTTTAGCTTCTTTACTAGGAAATTTCTGTGTACGCTGGTATTATCTCCTGTACAGCACAACATTCCTTATCCTTTCATTTTTCATGGTTTCATTCCAATTTCCCATCCACTGTAATTAATTGTATGACTGAATTTACATGTTATTTTGTTGCTGTGGGATTTACAAATTGGTGTTAGGCTATATTCAAGCCACGCAAAATTGCCCTTACAGCTTCATGAGGACATTATGAGGACTGTTTTTCACTCAGCAATAGAAATATTATCTCTGGTGCTTTGGGGATGAAGGAGGTGTTTGGTTTCAAGACTGTGTCCCTTCTTGAATGAACAGACTGTTCAGTCAGGTACCATATACCCCTGACTGTGTAGCAAAAAGTGCCTCAAGGGCAGCAGTTCCTTTCACTTATGTTTCATCTGCAAGCTTGGACCCAGGGATGTTTGCTGTGCAGGATTTTATTTTCTGGGAGGTCAGCTTCTGCAGCTATCTGCAGCAAGAGACAACCTCTTGTTCTTTAATGTCTGAAAAATTAACACTCAAAAAGTCTCCACGACCAACTTCATTTGCTGCTTACTGATCTCTGCCCTTGAAACACAATTTTTGGACTGCCTGATAGCTTTTTACCATTGGATGAAAACTGAAAGGCAGCAGCAGTCAAGTGCAGCACTTAGGTCATCCCTGAATAATACACCATGTTACTGTCATGGTAGTTTGATTCTTAGCACAGTGTATTTCACAAGTTTCTAATGGTCACAAGTCAGGTGGAAGTCTCCTGTGATTAAACACATTTTGATACCTGTTCTGTAGAGCTAGGTTTCCTCTTCTACTGACCTGAATGAGAAATGTACTGTGTTTTCTATTTTGGAAGCAAATTCTACTACTTTGGCGTGATATATAGCTACTCAGACTCTTAGAAATGTATTTGTTGTTAGCAAATGTCTTTTGGTCATAATGTGAAGGTCCTGTTTTGTCCTCAGTGTGTTGAAATTGTTCAAAAAGATAGAATATGGATCACAGTAATTGGAATGATTACATATATACTGACTATACAAACTAATTTTCTCCATCAGAGACACTAAAAAATTAATTATATGTTGTGTTTTTAATTTTTATTTCTTCTAAGCAAGCTTAATGCCCATGAAAGATTTTAAATTGAAATCCAAGGAGAATGAAATAATTTGATATAATATTAAACCATTCCAAGCTGTGTTAATAGGTCATTGGTTAATGGTCTAAGTACAGCAGGGAGCAAAAAGCCAGGAGAGTGCTTTTAAACATTAAAGTGCCTGTTGATGCACACCGTGGAGAAATGTATTGCTATTCAAATGACCTTCATTAATTTAAATTTTACTTAAGGAAACAGACTTTTAAAAAGCTATTTTATGCTTGGTAGAGATATATGCAATATATTTTTACATTAGGAAAATATTTGTAATAGAATGATAAGAGAAGAAAACTCAGGGAGAACAAATGAGGTGCCTGACTGCTTTTTCTGCCTATTTTCTTTGCCAGTCCTTCCTTCCTCCTTCTCTCTCATTCCTCTTATAACCCAGGTTCATCCATCTGTCTGTGATGCTATACAGTCTTGGGAATGGTTGCTTTCTGGTTCAGTGTTGTTGCAGAAGTTATTGAAAGGGATCTAGAAGTTGGAATGTATAGAAAATAAAAATTGGGGGCAAAATACTGCTGGCTGTCAGTGATTATTGGTAGTCCTACTTAATGTTTTAGCCATATAACAGTCCAATTTATCAAATGAATGAGGGAACACATAATTAGTAATACAGTTTGTTTTCTTTAAAACATTCTTAAGTATAGACCTCTTTTCCATGTTACCATATTCACTGTTCCAGTATTCACTTCAGTCCTGAGGATGGCAGTTGAAGTCCTCCTCAAGAGGGAGTGGTGAGGATGGCAGAGAGTCCTCAGCATTGTGAGGTGCTTGGAGGATTGGGGGTATCACTCCTCCCCAGTATGGCCACCCTCAGAGCTGAAACTGGGCAGGAGAGTCAGCAGTCACCCCACTCTGGCCACTGCGAGTCTGAGCCACTGCACTGGAGGCTCCACACACAGCCAGGGGCTTCCACTGGGAGTAACAAGGGTGGTACTTGCTGGGCTGTAGGCTCCCTGCTTCTCCCCCAGAGCCAAGGAGACCCTGGAGTGATGCCACCTTTGGGACAAGTTTTCTTTGCTCTCTGAATTTGAATTTATCGTGCTCATCAACTAAAACTTCCTCATGAGGGTGGGTTTTTTTCCAGTTCTAACACCATTTTGTAATCATGAAAACTTTTTATATGTCTGTATATTGAAGTTGTAAATTTTAGTTTACCTAATATTTTACAGGGACTGCTTCTGACATTAATCACACAGATGATGGATCTAGTATGCAGGATGAATCCTCTGTGTTACCTCTTTCACCTTCCCCTTTATCACTTTTGGAAGCCCTGCCAGTACACTGTCTGCTGGGAAAAACTCTCTTCAGAGTGTGCTGGTAGTTCTCTCTTGATAATAATACACGTATTTTTACCTGGATATTTCTGATTCTATTGGCACTTGTAACTGTGCAGGGATGAAAAACAGGAAAGCTAATTTAATTAATCGAATCTTACAAAACCAAAACTGATTTTGGTGAAGGAGTGTTTTGACCACTAATGTAGGTTACTCATTTTAGCTGAACTAATACGTCCCCATTGTAGACAAAAGCAGTACTCTAGCAGTGTGTGCTCTAGGCCACGTTGATGTCATTCTTTCTGTTTAAGTGCATTTGCTTTTATCTTAGTATTAAAATCATCATCTGTACCTGGATAGTACAGAACCCTGCTGAGAATATTTTCCTCCTCTCAAAATTCCTAGTAGAATTTGTTTTGTAGATGAAATATTAATGTGTAAGGTTAATCCCACTCCATATCATAATGTAAATATATTTTAAATAGATTTTCTGTTTGAGCCAATGTGCTTAAATAAAATAATTTAGTCTGAAGATGGTTTTCGGTTTTATATGAGAAAGGACTGTAATTTCTTAACTTAAGTAATTATGACTTTGCCATTCTGTCTATCACCACATTTGGCTTTAAGCTGTCTTTACTGTACATGACTCGTCAATGGTAATGTGTGGTATAAGAATCAAGGTGTGTATTTGGTGTCTGCTACTAGCATATAATTTCAAGTTCTATGACAGGCACATTGACTAAAGGCTGCATGGTGTAGAGAGGAAGACAGGTAAAGGTCAAGTGCTTTTGAAACTCAGAATCATTAATGTAGAAAAACCATCACAAGTGTTATATTGCAGGTGGTCTCGTGAAAAAATTGTTTCTACTTCAGAAGGCTAATTGATATCACTGGAAAGAAGTGTATTTACTGTCTGCAGTCTCTTTTTAAGAATTTAGTTTGGCTAAATTCTTAAATTCTTAACTTTACAGAAAGTTGACAGGAACTTTTTTTTTCAGCCTGCTGAATTTCCACCCTGTCTGCTTATAAGCTTACCAAAATAAACATTGTCCAAAACATGGGAGCCATCCTATTGTTTGCAGGAGATCACTTTCTGAAAAATGTGCTGTGGCTTAAATACTTTTTTCAATAAGTATCTTGTGCTCAGCTGAAAAGGAATTTCATTGGTACCCATAGTAGAAAATCCTAGCAGCAGACTTAAAGCTCGCAGAGCTGCCTCTGCACATTGTTAAACTGATTGTACCTCGTAACATGTAAATGCCAACGCTGTACTGCTGGTGTTCACCAGCTTGTGATATCGCTCTTCTGGCAGCAGCATATTTCTGTTGGCTTTGGTAGTTCTAAGCAACCATGATTCTGTATTCCTATACTTAATGATTTATTTACCTAAACTTAAAAAGTTCAATTCCCATGTCTGTCAGGAGTTTGTATACTCTTGTAAGGCATAAAAGAGATTTATTTATGAGTAGATGTATGCCTGATGGTCAGGAACCCTGTTGTTTTAATCTCATTTCTGTAAGAAAGAAAAATAGAGTGTAGGAAATTAAAAAAATAAATAAATAATTTTTTCACTTCTGTAAAGGACATTGAGATGTGCAGAAGCAAAGGAAAATGCTATTAGACAAAAAAAAAAAAAAGGAAAAAACATCAAAAATGCATTTTACTCTATTGTTTTTTTTTATTATTATTTTGTCATGTTACCTATGTGAAAACTATTATAGGTTGTACAACTTATAGTGTCTGATTTTTAAACACATTGAATGAAAGCATGATAAACTAAAAACTTTCAGAGTGTGATTATTAAAATCACCATTACAAGATAGAAGCTTAAACTCATGATCTAATTTGTAGTGGAAAATCATTGTCTTCAAGGTGGGGAGTCTGTCTGCAGTTAGTGGAAAAGAATTGTAAACATACGTTGGTTAATTGCCTAGTAAGTCATATATACTAAAAGATTCCTGGCATGTAGCAGGCAGTGTAATTTTAGACTATACAGTGTATAAAAATACACTGCTGAATGTAACAAAGTGGTTCTGATCTATTATAATACTGACAAGTAGCCTAAGGGAACAGGGCGTGCATAGATAAAAGGGTCGCTCTGTGGGTGATTAGACAAGGTAACCAGAGGCCAGTCTTGCTGCTTTATCTCTCAGTGCCAGTGCACTCATGCTATTCACACACACAGGATTTTGGTCTTCTTTTGAGATAGACCTAACTAAGGACCATTCCAATATTTGAATAAAAAGGACATAGGAGATGGCTCATAAGTTCCTCCAGAACTTTGTTGCTTCTGCACAGTAGTTTGGACTTAGGGCTGGAATAGTACTTTTTTTTTGAGTTAGGCTGCACACATGCAGTTATTTTAAGATGTTTTCTGTGATTAGTTGTGAAGAAATTATAATGGGGAGCGAGGAAGGTAGATAAGTTCTATGATAGGTGCGAATCAACAATTTGCATTTAAGGTATGACAGTTTACTTCCTAATTATGGTAATAATCATTAGGACGCATCATTCTGCTTTTAGAAAAAGGCAACAAGGAAATCTGACCTGTAGTACTTTGGGTTTTGGGGTTAGGTTTTTTCCCCTTCATTCTTCCTTGAGGCTAGAGACAAAAATAACAAATTATCAGAACCTAACTGAGACTGTCATCCAGGGCCCTGGATCCAATCCATAGACTGTGCAGCTAAAGCATAGGGAGACTTAAGGATATCAGAGTACAGTGTGCTGAGTCAGCAGCTGCTGCGTGCCAGCCTAGAGGGAATGCTGAGGAAAAGCATATCTTGTAAATCTTTCCTTTACTATGGATTGAATGTTCTATAATGGCTCTTCTGGGACAGAGCAAATGCTGCTGTTACTATTTCTTGCCAATGTTACTGCTCCTTAACTTCAGAAAGGTTAATAACTTCATTTCAGAATGCAGGTATTACACTTAGACTGAAAAGACAAAAGTACTACAGTACTCTGTCTATGGATCTCTTTCAAATTTTTGATTTTGATGGAAGTGGGTTGTGTTTTGGTTTTGTTTTTAAAAGGCTTTACAGCAGTGTTTGTATTCTGATGCTGAATTCTGGGATATCTAGCTGATGTTATTGTACAATAACTACATTAATTACAATAATTTTAAACCTGATGGAGAGACTTAGGTTGTAATTTTAGAAATGGTTATGCGCTTTATTTGGGGGTGATCTCACATAAAATGCAGGAATGGTCATCTGGATAGGAACCTGGTCTTTATGCTCTCAGGAAAGAAACCAGACGCCTGGGATGTGTTCCTCTTGTGAACTACTTGAGACCCCATGACCACCAGTGCACTGGCAGACATGAATGGTCCAGGCAAGTGGGAGTACAGGCTGGGAGCACTCATAAACTGTAGAGGGCAAGGGACATGTATGCTCTGTGGCTTGGAAGCCTTGCTGCAATGCTCTCGAGTTAAGTGTCTCCTGTCCTGCATGTAACAGAAGAAAAAGAAGTCACTACAACACTGTGTATGTATCCTGTTTGTGAAGATCATGAGAAACTGATATTTGTTACTGCAGGGCAGGCTTATTGACTAAACTGAAGAACTTTGCCTAATACTGAGAGGTTTCTGCATATGCTGAATATCAGAATTATGACTTTCCAGGATCCTGCTATTTATAAAGTTATTCTCCTTGTGAGTTTAAAGGTCTTGGGTACTAATTTTTCAACAGGGGCTTTTGGGTTTGCAGTTTTTAGATTTGGACTCCAAACCTGGGTGTACAACCTATTTTAAGAAACAATTATTTGTGTAAATGTGGCTCTTCTGATTCTTTGTGCAACCCATTCTCTTCAAGAACAATTTGATAGCTCATTCTTTTAAAACCAGTGATGTTTTCTTCATAAAGAACTGGATTTCTCAAAAAAAAGGCTGCAGCATTGACAGAGAATGGTCTTTTCTTGGTACAAGTAGATAAACATAAAGTTTTGTTTTGTTTTTAAATTAAGGCTGCAAGATGGTTTCAGTGCTTTCATTGTATTCCTGTAGCATTCACCAATTTTTATTTAAAATATTATAACCCTTATGCTTGACATTCTTTGTCAAAATTTCTGTGTTAGATGTCGTCTTCAATCATTTTTAAGACTCAAGGTCCAATTTGCAGCTGCCTCTTCTATCAGTTGGTCATTTGTCTCTTAAAAATGTTCTTACAGATTGGGGTTTGGTTTCTCTGAGAGAGTTTAAAAATACTGTGGGCATGTGACTTCTAGGCAAAATAACTATTCCATGTTGAGCTTTCTCAGTGTACAATCCATTCAACCCAGAGAAAATAGACCCACTTGACTTCTTTCTGTTATCCCAGTGAATTCTGTTAAAATCAGCAGACCTGCTTTTTATGTAAGAGTACATGTGCAAGTATTTGTCAGATAAGGGCCTTTAAATGACATTATAGGTGTTTTAACATGTATTTATTATGTCTGATTTTAGTGCTATGTGTAAGGCATCCTCTTGTGCAGTGGTTACATTAGTAAGCATGACAAAAACAGGGTTTTTCTATTGAATCAGATATGACCTGAGTAGTTCTTGTTAACCTCAGAAGTATTTAGAACTTCTAACTGAATAATTTGTTTTGTAGGGTGAAATGGGCGCGAAAGGACAGGGCGGTGTTGCTGGTCTCCCTGGCGAAAAGGTACAGTCATGTATATGAATAAGTAATTGAATTCATGGGAAGTGTTCATTATGTCAGTGGCTTATCTGTAATTATGTACAGAGATGGAAGGACAGAACAGTTCTGTTAGAAAATGAACTGCTCTCACCTGCACTGCCATAATTTTGTATCATGCTGAAAAAGCCACTCAGACCAATAGTATTCTCTGCAGATGTGCTTGTTTGGTTCTTTTTTTGCTAGCAGCAGTGGGGGCTATACAGAATCCATGGAAGCCACTTGTTCCTCTATGCAGTTTGTGGTCTGCAAGCCAAGAAAAGAGCTCTTACACTCTCAACAGGCTACTTGGTGGAGCTTTGAGATAAACACCGCTGACCTATAAGCAAAGGGAGTAGCCCTGGCTATGAAGGAATGTCAGTGCTGCTACCTGTGTGTTCAGGAGGGTGTTTTACTTCATATCAGGGTCTTAGTGTGAGAATTATGGTGTTTGTACATGTTTAGAGCTAGTTACCTGTATTACAGGAAGTCTACTAGTCTAATATCCAGCTTCTTCAGTATAGGAGACTGCCCTCTTAACACTGAGGAAATGTCATAGAATCATCATGGAACCATAGAATGGCTTAGGTTGGAAAGGATCCTGGAGATCATCTAATCCAACCTCCTTGCCACGGGCAGGGTCGCCTCTCAACTAGACTAGCTAATGCCAAATCCCAGCCTGCCCTGGACCACCTCCAGGCGGGGGGCATCCACAGCCTGTCCGGGCAATCTGTTCCAGAGTCTTGCCACCCTCGTACTGAAGAAGTTCTTCCTAAGATCCAGTCTAAACCTACTCTCCTTCAGCTTAAAACCATTTCCCCTTGTCCTGTTGCTGGACACTTTTGAAAGTCCCTCTCCAGCCTCCCTGTAGGTTCCCTTCAGGTACTGGAAGGCAGTTATAAGGCCCCTGGGATTGTTCAGCCTGGAGTCTTCTCTTCTCCAGGCTGAACAATCCCAGTGCCCTCAGCCTGTCCTCTTGCAGATATGCTCCAGCCCCTGGATCAGCTTTGTGGCCCTCCTCTGGACTCATTCCAACAGATATATGTCCCTTTTATGGTGGGGACACCAGAACTGGATGCAGAATTCAAGGTGTGGTCTCACAAGAGCTGAGTAAAGGGGGAGAATCACTTCTCTTGACCTGCTGACCACACCCCTCTTGATGCATCCCAGGACGTGGGTGGCCTTCTAGGCTGCATGAGTGCACTGCTGGCTCATGTTGAGCTTCTCACCAATCAACACCCCCAAGTCCTTCTCTTCAGGGCTACTCTTCAACTCTCAATGTCTTGTTGCTTGAGTTTCTATCTATTTGGCATATTGGGATTTTTTTCTGTTTCATAGTAACAGATCAAATAATAATGGATTTTCTGTGTATGCATGGAAGCCAGATAAATTTATATAAATGAATGAAGCTCCCCAGATACATGTGTCAGTGCACTTCACTGATTTTTTTTTTTTTTTTTCAGTGCTGTCTTTAGTATCACAATTTGTCCTTAATCCTCAATTCTATCTACTTAGGTTCTTTTTCATTGTGTACTTGAATTTTTTTTCTTCTTTCAGTCATTGACATGCTGCTTTGATATGTATGTAGCATTTTAGTAACGGCAAAGGGTTTGATTTCTTCTGTAATTATTCAGATTTCTAAGTATTCTAAGAAATAGAGATTCACCTGAGCTGGCAGGTTTAAAATCTGTAATTAACAGGATATAGAACTATGAAACCATCTTCTGTTTTTACTTGCTATTTTTCTCTCAAATTACATAGTGCTAAAAACAGGAGGTAGATATATAAAATTACCAAAGAGAATAGTTAAATAAATGGTGTTAGCTGCTGATGCTAAGTTACATGTGGTAGAAAGATGGAGAGCAGTCTGCTAAGATGTCTAGAGAACTCTGCAACATTGAGGGACTGAATCATAAAGTGGTACATGAAACTCATGAAAGTAATAGGAAACTGGTGCAAGTGAAGAGGAAAAACAAGGCAAGCATTAAGTATTTAATGTTAGACTCTGGATTAGCTATTACTGTTCAGGAAAATGATCTTGGAAGTACAGATCAATGAAAACATACACTCACTGTTAACTACTAGTCAAACAAACGGAATCACAGAATTGATTCCAACTCCAAATGGAGTTTGGGAACGATGAGGAAGAGAATAGGAAACAAAGTAAAAACATACTAATGTCACTGTTATTAGTGAAAATGTGTTGTGTTGCATCTTGAATGATGTATAGAGTTCTGGTTCCCACATCTTGAAGTGGATCTAATATTACTGGAAAAGGTACAGAGAAAGTGTGAAGAGTCATCAAGAGCATTGGGCATTTCCAATTAAGCAGTGATGATGTGGACTCCAGTGTGAAAAAGGCAGAACTGAAGTGAAATAGCTTGGATATGTGCTCTATATAATCATGAATGGAACAGAAAAGATTAATAGGGATTGATTTATTTATTTTACTCTCCTTTTCAGTGTGCAAATTAAAGCGTCAAACCTCTATGACAGCAAGTTCAAAAAGGATAGAAAGGGCTCATTCTTCCTATTACATGATTACAGTTTGGACACTGCCACAGGAATTAAACAGTCTAAAAATTTATTAGAAATTTGATGGAGTAAAAATCCATGGAGTGTGTCAGACAGACACTGCTGCTTGTCTGAAAGTTCTTGAGCTCCAACAAACTGAAGTTTGGGAAACCCACTGAGAAGTCTTTGCAGTTGCCTTGTTGTTATACTTTTCTGTAGGCATCTGCTGTTGCCAAAATTGTAGTCATGTACTTGACCAGAGAAACCTTTTATTTGATCCAGCTAGACAGTTTCTACTTTACTGTGCTCCCAGATGTGAATTAATGGAAAGAGTTATTGTAAAACATTGTAGATTGAATAAGATTGATCTAGAATGAAACTGTGTTTTCCCTTGGCTCTTTCTGTAGCTCCTTCTCTGATGTTATCTTCCTCTAAAATTACCAGGCTCCATTGCTTTTCCAAGACAAGTTGTTATTACAGTTTCCATGGTTAATAGTGTTTGGGTTTTTTTGCCTAGCGCCTTGTAGATTCACTGTCAGGCCAAATCCCAAAGCTCCCGTTGGCTTACATAAGGCTGAACAGTCAGATCATATTTAATACCAAAACACTGTACTTTTCCTGAACATTATAACTCTTTTAATTTAGACTACAAAAAAAAAAACCCATACCCTTGTTGCAAATTAAAAATGAATTACTGTGGAGTTTGAAACTGACAAAACCAAAAGCTATTTAAAAAAAGAAAAAGAAGGCAAACAAAATATTTCGTACGTGCATAACTAGATGAAGAAACTGAAATCCAGCCACTCAGCTTCTGCTAGCCAGACATGTCACATCTATATAGAGTAGTACAGTGCTGTGTGCAATTATTAGCTCCTTTCTGGGGGCAGAATCATTTTATTTTTCACATTAACATGCTGTATCTTTTAGCTGATGCTCAAGAGCTATGTAAACGTGTGTGCATTTGTTATTTTTGCACTCTTTATTCTGTGATATTCTGGATGCTAAAAATGTACATACAGATTCAAAGATGACTGAACAAAGTAAAGGAATAAAGATATTCCAAGCACTATTATATACAAAGGTGTCTACTTTGTATATAACAACATCTCAGGAAGTGGAGGTGTGGATTGTGCAATGCTGGGATAGCACCCTCAGGAGCTACTGCTGTTTGTTTATCCTCTTAAACCCTTCAATACGTGTTACCTTTTGTTGGAGATGTTACATTTGTTTGACTGGTATGGTTGGGTTTGTGTTTTTCTGTATTTTTCCAAGCTTTCTGCAGATATGTCCCTTGAGTTGCTAATTTGAAATAGGAAAAATAAAAAAAGAAGCAATACAATTATTTTTTATTTAAGTGTAGTTTGAGGTTTTAGAGAGCAAAGGGACTCTTTCTGATACACCCAAAAACCATCTACTGCAATGCTTCGTTATTCATACTTCTTTCCCTGGGGAATGCTTCAGAGAATAAATACATGGCAGATCTTACTTATGTTGCTATGAATAAGCAACAATATTCATTAATTTGTGTCCAGCAGAACAAGGGAGGTCCTTCTCCCCCTCTACTCTGCCCTGGTGAGACCTCACCTGGAGTATTGTGTCCAGTTCTGGGCTCCCCATTTCAAGAGGGACAGAGATCTACTCGAGAGAGTCCAGTGAAGGGCTATGAGGATGATCAGGGGACTGGAATACTTGCCTGATGAGGAAAAGCTGAGAGACCTGGGGCTTTTTAGTCTGGAGAAGAGAAGAGAAGACTCAGTTGGGATCTAATTAATGTGTATAAATATATGGGGGCTGGGTGTCAAGAAGAAAGAGAAAACGTGTTTTCATTTGTACCCTGAGATAGGACAAGTGGCAATGGATACAAGCTGGAGCACAAGAAGTTCCGCCTCAACATGAGGAAGAACTTCTTTACTGTAAGGGTTCCAGAGCACTGGAACAGGCTCCCCAGGGAGATTGTGGAGTCTCCTACCTTGGATACTTTTAAGACTCATCTGGATGCGTTCCTGTGTGACCTGCCCTAGACTAGATGGTCTTGCTCTGGCAGGGGGGTTGGACTCGATGATCTCCGGAGGTCCCTTCCAACTCCTAACATTCTCTGATTCTGTGATTTGACCTATTTTGGAAGTTTGAAATGAGATAAACTTGGCTATTAGAAGGCATGTTTCTATAGAACCGATTAGCACAAATGTTTCTGACATTGTAATAAAAAGCCTAGTTAGACTAATTCTACCCAATACACTTTATTACTTAAGAAAATCTTATCAGGAGAATCTCCAGGAAAATTCTCCATAGTCATATACTTAATTTTCCAGATCTGTGTAAGTGGCAAAACATCTGTAAGGCTTCATCTGTGGCTTCAGGGGTCTAAAGTGTGAAAATAGATTGTTTACATCACGTTATCTTCAGTCTGTCTTCAAATGTAACACATGGCTTTCTGTCATTTCAAAGACATTACCACTGGCAATGTAATTTCA